CTCACCAGGGCAGAGCAGAGGGGAAGGAGAATCTCCCTCGACCTGCTGGCCACACTCCTCTTGATGCACCCCAGGATCCCACTGGCCTTCTTGGCAACCAGGGCACACTGCTGGCTCATGGTTAACCTGTCGTCCACCAGGACACCCAGGTCGCTTTCCACAGAGCTGCTCTCCAGCAGGTCCACCCCAAGACTGTACTGATGCATGGGGTTGTTCCTCCCCAGGTGCAGGACCCTGCCCTTGCCCTTGTTGAATTTCACCAGGTTCCTCTGTGCCCAACTTTCCAGCCTGTCCAGGTCACGCTGAATGGCAGCACAGCCTTCTGGTGTATCTACCACACCTCCCAGTTTGGCGTCATCAGCAAACTTCCTGAGGGTACACTCTAACTCTTCGTCCAGGTCATTGATGAAGAAGTTACACAAGACTGGGCCCAGTACTGACCCCTGGGGGACACCACTAGTTACTGGCCTCCAACTAGACTCAGCGCCGCTGATCACAACCCTCTGAGTTCTGCCATTCAGCCAGTTCTCAATCCACCTCACCGACCACTCATCCAGCCCACACTTCCTGAGCTTCCTTAGGAGGATGTTATGGGAGACAGTGTCGAAAGCCTTGCTGAAGTTGAGGTAGACAACATCCACGGTTCTCGCCTCATCTACCCAGCCAGTCACACCATCGTAGAAAGCTATCAGGTTGGTCAAGCATGATTTCCCCTTGATGAATCCATGTTGCCCTGGACTACTGTTCCCATTTCAACAGAGCATCGAGAAGAAATCTTTTCTTCCTCTTCTTAGCCTAGTCTGAGACAAAAGAAACGCTAGTACCTATTTCTGATTTGGCTATAATTACATGCATGACCAAAAGAAAATCTTGCAAGAAACCAGCTTCATTTAAACAGCACTGAGATACTCAGACACCTCTGTGCCCAGATAAGCATTGACAGAATCAGGGACAAATACCTACTAAAAGGAGATGTCCAGACCAGGAACACAAGTTTTCCTAGGTTAAAAAGACTTTATTCTAACATTGCTGGCTGCTTCCCTAAAAGACTGATCCCAGGAGTACCTACAACCATTGTACATTGACGGGACAGCTTAAACCCGAGTTTGAGCTACACAAGCAAAGCTTCAGTTTAAACAGCTGACAAATACATTAACACAGAGCTGCTCCGCACAGGAAGCTTGTTGTGTAGGTAGGCCCCAAATCACCTCAGAAGAAGAGTTTTCTGAAATCCAGCAAGATTGTAGTTGTTACTTCAGACTTGTCACAACTTACCCCATGAGCAGGAAGGGTGTAAATTCCTTCAGCTCAGCCCATACCATGCAATTACTCACTGTAATGCCAAATGTACTCTCTCTATAAGAATAATTATGGGTAGCATCAACATCACTTGAGAGGCAGCCTAAGTACGAGCCTTGTAACATGTGCAAAAGAAGCTGGCAGCTGAGTAGCCACCACCACACGCACTGCCAATTATTCCCAGTTTGGGATGCTAACAAGGGATGAATAAGGCAGAAGCATGGCAGTCGGCCATGCCAACCTTGAAGGCTCAGGTACACCTTCACAGGGCTGAAAGCGGCAGGAGGGAGGCCATGTACCACAAAGCACCAAGGGGAGGGCAAGCTCCCAGAGGAGACTGCTACAACAGACCAGGACATCCCAGCAAGAGTGCATGCCTGGGCCAGTTTCAGCATCTTCTCCCAACTCAGATGCTCCCACAAGCAGTTTTCATGCCAGCACAACCTTGATGCTGAACACCAAGGGAGCCCAGAATTAGGAATGATGAACAAGCAACACGACCTCCTGTCCACAGCTGGAACCAAAAGAAGAGTACTAGCAGCATCAACTGCTGGGCCAGGAAAGATCCTACACCAAAGTGACTAGCAGAAATTCTAAAAGGGAAACAAAATCCACCTGCTTTGAGAGAAAACATTGCAACTTACCCACCTGGGAGACTACAGCGGCTGGAAAAATACTTCTACTGATGCTGAAGAGATCACAGTTTTGTAGGCTCAGCCCTCCAAAGGGTGAGTATAAGAGACCCTCCCTCTGAACACTCGGGGTATACTTACAACAGACACACTAGGTGTAGCTCCACAACACA